AAATAAATAATTTATAAATATAATAAATAAATACATATTAACCAATATGTGCTATAGACTATAGTGATATAAAATAGGTAAATATTTATTTTTATGAATGGGTAATTGTAATATAAAAAAAAAAAAATAGAACTAACCTTGGGAATCAGTAATGGATTGTACCACATGAGGACTCAAAACTTTGGGTAATGATGTTAATACAGACGGAATAGAGTCTTTGAACAATAATCTGTACATATACATATGTAATTTGAAATAATTTGAAAATTAGATAATATTTACTTAATTTATAATTACTAAGATGACTTAATGTTTTGATATATAGTATAATTAAGGACTATACTATTGTCAAAGTTGAATAACTCACGTTTTATTTCCTATACCTTTCCATATAATATAATCAGATGATTTGAAATGATCAGAACATATAACTCGGTTTTTGTTTAAAAATCTAGCACCTTGAGTTTTAAAAACATCCATAATTTCTGAACTTCCACACCACTCAACCCATTTTTTACACCTATATTAATTTAAACTTCAATCATTAAATGCAATTTCTGGTTGTATAAATATATTCAAAATTATATTACCAAAAATAATATCAAAACTATTTAATCTACAATTGTTATTTATTTTTATTTAGAAATATATTTTTCTGTACAGAAACTTACAATTCTTCATTGGCTGGAAATCTATGAAAAACCAAGTTTGAATTTAATTTCCCTGTATTGTAACAATATTTTGTTGAACATGACTTTTTAGAACACATTTTCATAAGTTTTTACAAAACTATAATGAAAACAATTTACAAAATAAATAGTATTTATGAAGTATAAACATAAACTAATTAACTACAATTAGTACATCTTATACACTATACATCTTAGTAGTTAGTCTCATACTCTCATATAAGTTTTAAGTACAAATCAACCATTGCTGTTTATTTATAGTGCTTATACAATTATACGAAAGCCAATGGTTATTTATGATTACAGCCATAGCCATTTCACATTTTGGCATTTATTATTTAAATTACGCCTGGGATATAGGCAAAAACAGTACAACTGAGGGCGCTCCGTATGTCACTGCTGATTATCATTGACTTTCTCGTATTATCATTTATAGTATTTGATTTTAATATTTATATGGTGTTATTAAYAATTAATATATAATATATATTATTATGTGTGATTACTAGGGAACGGATTTGAATGCAAATTGCATTTTTTTCTGAATGTCCGAAAACATTGGTTTCCAAGCAAAAAGTTCATTTCATACATCAAAGAATTAAAAAATGTAACTTTTATTTTGCATTTTTTGCATTTTTAAGACTTACATGCATTTTTGAAATTTTTAGTGCATTTTGTGGATTTTAAGTCATTTTTTCAACATTTTTTCCACATTTATTCAAAAAAAAAATTAAAATACCTAAATATGCATTATGTTACGAAATTACGAAATTATTGTAGCACGTGTATTATGTTACGAAATTACGAAATTATTGTTGACACGTGTAGACACAAATTATATACATACAAGTTACAACAGATTATTACCCACATTAAGTTAAAGATAAGAGATAAGATACGATAAACTATTTATCTAAAGTTAATTAATTAAGGTTGTATTATATTTAAATATTTTTTATTAGATTTTTNACCTTTATTTGATCTTTTAGCTCATGAATCAAAGCGTAACACACCTCATGTACAATATTTGAAATAATTTGATTGGAAAATTTGAACAAGTAAGACAAACTAGTAAAACTATCTCCAGTTGCCAAAAATCTAAGAGTTACTGCTAATCTATCTTGGATAGGTATAGCTTTCCTCATGTTTGTGTCTTGCTTTTTAATAATTGGACCAACTTTATTTAATAGATGTTCAAAGTCTTCTGCTGACATCCGGCAAAAGTTTATAAATTTTCCCGATGGTTCACGGTTTAAATCTTCCAACATATTTGAAGCATTATACCTAAAATAAATGTATATACCTAAATATTATACAAGTACTAGTTTGTATATTAACTGTTTATAGTGTTTAAAATATATAATTTCAGAACAATTTAATCAATTATGTTAAATAATAAAATATAGTGTACAATAATTAATTTATCATAAGTTTATAACTTAGTTAATCTCACTGAATATTATTTAAACACTAGAATTCAATATGTAAAAATTACTTACCTTTCTCGACTTTTATTCAATGAYAATGTCCACCACCTTCTTTTAGTTTTATTTTTTTTAATTTTCGTTTTTAAATGATATGCAGCACACATTACCGTAAATGCAGCGGCGCTAACAACAGACTTCTCGTCGTCACTATCCATTTTGGACTGACGCAGTCATATATTTCGTTTTCGTATATTTTTGCYCGATTATCCGAGTCGTGTAGGAGGATTGGCGATGACAATTAATAATACACGATGATCGGATAATCGGCGAATATATGAGTCGTGTAGGAGCGAAATTATCATCAAGTCAAAATACTCGGCGAACATACGCGATTACTATACTTGCCGAGTACACGAGTCGTGTGGGACCGGCTTAAGATCTACCTTAACTATCAATAGTAATATTTAAAACTGCATCCTTCAATTTCGACGAACCAAAGCGTTATTTAAAAACTATTGTATGTATCACCAGTATATACTTTCAT